GGTGGGTCCCCATGACCTCATCTAATCTAATTACCTCCCAAAGGCCCTGCCTCTAAATCCCATTACTATACTAACTTAGGTATTAAATTGCCAACACCCAAATTCCAGAAGATAAACATCCCAGCCATAGCAAGGACATACTGTGAAAAGTCTTCCTTCCATCACAAGTCCAGTATATCCCTCTTTTTGGCAGTCAACATTTCATTTCTTGATATTCTTAAAGAAAAATTTTACCATATGTGATGAATAAAAATATATCTCTCTTCTTCATTTACACAAATGGTAACATACTTTGCATACTGCTCCACCTTTTGTCTTTTTCATTTTATAGTGAGTATGGTAGGATCTCATTTTTATTTTTCATGTCTTTATAACTTTCTTCTGTAGCTATGCCATTTGACTTCTGTATTTTGTCATTGTACTGATGCATCTAGTCCATTTGAATTCTGTATAAGTGTATTATTATTGTAGGGTATGTGGAATAACCAGCTTAAAAATTGATTTTTCATTTATACAGCTCAGGTGCCCTCCATAGGGGCTACCAGGTTTTCCTGCTAGCATTTTTTTTTTTGTACCAGGGATCAAACTCGGGACCTTGTGCTTGCGAGGCAGGCGGCAGAAACTCTGAGCTAAATCCCCAGCCCTACTGCCAGCATTTTAATACCTATATTCTCATATTCATGGTACCATGAAGTATTTTAAACTTTAAAACCTGTATTAGTCTGAAGGTGAACAGTATTTTGTTTTATTTTCAATTAGATTTGCATGTACATATGTGTGTAGGTATGGTTTTTGAAACGGTCTCACTATGTAGTCCAGGCTGGCTTTGAACTTACTATGGCCCAAGCCGGCCTTGAACTCAGCAATCTTCCTGCTTCTGCCTCTTATAATGATTCTGAGTTATTTGTATTTATTGGTTCCTTTTCCCTTCCCTTCTCACTTCCCCTTCCCCTCTTCCTTGCTTCCCCTATTCCCTACTTCCCCTGTGAGCTCTGTTCATATTCTTTGCCTAGTTTTTGGGTTGGACTGTGAACTTCCAGTCTTTTGCTTAAAGGTCTGATTTATGGAGCACTGTATATAAGGGAGAATTCGTTACATTTTTTCCTGTTTGTTGTTTTGCTTATGGTTGTTACCTACAACCTTCCCCCCTAGCTCTTGCACATACCAGGCAAGCCAGCATTCTACCTTTGATCTATATACCCAGCTCTTTTTATTTTTTATTTTGAGACAGGGTCTTGCTAAGTTGCCCAAGCTGATCTCAGACCTTTGAATCACCGGCTTTAGTCTCCCAAGAAACTGGGATTACAGGCCTGCCACCACCATGACCAGCAGTTTCTGGGGTTTGAGTTCTAGAAGAACTATCTTTAGTCCAGTGTTACAAAATAATTTATCTGTAACTTGGCCTAATTACTTTGATGATACCATTATTTCCATGTAGATACCCGATCCATTCAGAATCCATCCTCATGTGAGGTATGATGTGGACCCCAACTATGTTTCCTATTAGTGAGCTTACTTACTGTTGTTCTATTCTCATTTATGAAATTATCTTGTCCTAACGTACTGAAGGAAAGAGAAACCAAGGAGGATGACCCTCTAGGCTGAGTCACTGCGTGGATAACAATTTACCAAAGAGAGAAGAATGGTGAGGAGCTAGGTTTGTGGGATAACTTAGAATTGTGTTTTGGGTGGGTCAATCTTGACACATCTCAAGTGGAGAGACTGACAAGGCCATGTGTGAGGAGAGAATCACTAAAGAGAAATACTTGTCATTGTTGAATGAATGATGAATGTTTTTTGGTCATAAATGACATGTATTTAAATGTATTCTATTATGGATTGTAGAAGGTAAATGAGGTATAGAAAATTTCTGGATGATAAATCATAAAAAACAACAGTATTTGACCTTCAGGAAGGAGGCTGGGAATCCAGGATTAGAGAAACATGTACTTTTGATTGAATATTTTTTGTTCTGTTTGAATTGAATTTTTATAGTTTTCTAATAGTTGTAGATTGTGTTATTCAGTAAATAAGTACTTCATCTGCACCCCCAGATATTGGTAGTGACAACAGATCTTCAGAATTCCAGGCACATCACCTTGTCTTTATTCCTAGCATCTGTGTTATAGAAAGGGGCCAGTAAAGGTTAGCTTGTTTCTTTCTCTTACCAAGTGTAGATAGTAAGTCTTGATAACTTCTAAGTTAACATTGTATCAAAAGTTCAGAAATGACTACTTAAATTGATTCAAAAGTAATATTATTTAGTGTCCTGATGGAAGTAGTAGAAAAATAGGATTCTTTTTTGTGTATTAGTACATGTTTGCACACATAATGATTACATTCCTTGTAGGGAGTTAGTACATGTATGTAACACATCTTCATTCTCTTTATTTGCCCTTGTTTCTTCCTCTGCCCACCCTGAATCTCTTGGTCTTTTTCCATTTTTGAAAAGATCTCTCACTATTTCCTATTATTTGTTATTTTGCTCTTTATATTTTGAGTTTCTCATATAAAGGAAACTATACAATGTTTAAGCTTGTGTGTCTGATTTATTTCATGTAACATTATGGTCTCAAGAGCTAGCCATTGTCCTACAAATGATCCATATGTATCCTTCTGTATGGCAGGTAATATAACATATATATAATA